GGCCAATGCAATGTATTGTTAATCTGGTTTAATAAAGGGCTTTGAACGTTAGTTATTTCCCAGACATTTTAGGTTAGGCTTGCATTTTCCATGATCACTCAGCCACTAATTAAGACCTATCGTTGGTAATCAAACATCTACTGTACTTTGAAACAAAACCAATGTAGAAATTATTAATAATTTTAGCAGATTAATTAAATTTTAAAACCAAGATCATACACATTTTCTATAAAATACTTACATGCAAGACGATACAGCATTGGATGAAATCATCAAACAAGATGGTTCCGTTCCCGTGTCTGTCAAATTTGCGTACCATTAGGTCGATGATGTTCTCGCTGAGTCGGTAGCCAAATGAGACCAGAGCTGTTTTTAACTCAGTCCTATCTATGTTCCCGGAATGATCCCTGTCAAATGATCGGAAGCAGTTTTGCCAGTCCGTCACGTATTTCCATAGTGCTCCAAAGTCCTCAAAAGAAACAGTTCCTCTATTCTGTTTGTCAAACATACCTGTGAAAATGCACTTGAGGATATCATGTAGGCCTAGCTCAGAAGTGAATTTTGTTATTTAAGGAAAACGTAGGTCTAATTTCAGAAATATTTTACTTATAAAAACAGGGAGCCCATTACAAACCATATAATACAAAGTAGGCTATTTGAACAATTAGACTATTTGAATATTTAAGTATGATTATAATGCAATTATATACAGTTTATAATATTACCAAGGAACTTATAAAACATTTGTATTTATTTTCATTTTCACATTGATGGCAATATTAATAAATATTAGTAAAAACGTGATAGCCTAAATTTGGTTTAGTTTTATAATACAAAGTACCTACATAAAAAAATATATAGAGAGATTTTTTAGTGAATTTTCATTAACGTAATTGACTACGGTACTGGCTTTAGTTTAAGTATTAGGCCTACTTGCCAGTTAGCTGCGTTTTTTTTCTGACTTCATCTTGTTTGTGCCCTATCTTATCTCGTTATTTGTAGGACTATACCATTAAAAAAACATATGGCACAACACAAAATGTAGTTAAGCTGCGTTTACACCGACGTTTCAAACATAAAGTTGCAAACTTTTATTGCAAACAGTAGTTCAAATAAAAGGTTGCGATTTTTATTTCATGGTTTTTTTCATATTTCATGAAAATGTTTGGAACACTTCGACCTTGATTATGACTCGCCTAAGTGCTGTTCCTGGGATCAGTCCTTCCGAGGATGTCAGATGTAGAGAATGTCTTTTTGAATCAAATGTCATTCCATGTGTAGTTTTTCATGATATTATTTTTGTAATCGGAAATAGTTTGATTCCACAGGACTTGCTGCTCTCTGTACTAGCTAATTGACTTTAGAATGTTGTCATCTCTCCAATCCATCTCACTCAGTCGATTTGCCATTGTCACTCACAAGCTAAAGGTAACTAGTAGCAGTCCAGACAGGCTAATGACACTTGAGTCGAGACACAGGGTGCAAGTGATCACGTGAGTGAGAGAAGGAAGTGGCAGTGTAGGGGATGGCGGAGAAATGTTTCTGTTTCGTGTTTCAACGGCACATAGTGGCCGAAACCAGTGTTGCAAACAGAAGATTGCAACTCCCTTTTATCTTCACCGACTTCAGGTGGAAAAACAAAAAATTTCTGTTGCAAACACTGAAAAACTGTTTTCAACAGCATCATGTTTCGTCTAAAAATGTGTGTTTTTAGAGATGTTTGCAATTTCTGTTTACAACTGGTATTTCAAACTCCGGTGTTTTAACACGGCTTTGTACATGTTTTAGAAAAATACAACAAATACGGTATTTAGTATTTAGATTTTAAAACTCACCAATCATAAGTCTGACGGTCTCTGGGTTGACAAGGAGTCCAAGTACCATTAGACAAAGCTACTTGTAACTCATCGGCAGATATATAACCACTCCGATCTGAATCCACTCTGAGGAACAAAACATGTTAGGGGAAGGTTTGCAGGAGAGGGTTTGTAGTTACCGAGTAGGCCTAGCTGAAATCGCAGACATTTAACAAAGAAGGACAAATACAAGCTGTAGATATGTAACTCCTATGACCACAATCTTACGAGAAAAAAAAATCAGAAATAAAAATATTATAAAACATTTTGGATGTGAGTAGTAGAACAATATTTTTTTTTTTTTTATTTAAAAAAAGAGGTTGGCGGCCTCTTTTAACCTTGCATTTGCCCGTCCACATAGACTAAGCGCCCGTGCGTGGATCGTTTGCAGCAAAGCAAGGAGTGAGCCGGTACAGTACAAAGGTGAACTGTACTGAAAATTGTTATCGGCAGTGACCAGGATCCGAACCCACGACATTGCTGCCTTGGCCCGAAGTCCGCGACGCTACCGACTGAGCCACCGACTCACTAACATATTAGAACAATATATATTAGAACAAGCCATACCGTAATGGCAGTAGCCTATGAGGTTGGTAATGCAAAACTTTTAACTTAGATCTGACTCCATTGTACCACAGAAAACGTACTACTATACCCAGAATGCCAACCGCATGGTAAAAAGCATTAAGCGGTTTGAGAGATCTTTGCCTGTCAATCCGTAGGCAGCGCCACCAGCGTTGCTATGCTATTGCATGGCAACGCTGGTGGCGCTGCCTACGGATTGAACAGGCAAAGCTCTCTCAAACCGCTTAATGCTTTTTAAGGCAAAGCTCTCTCAAACCGCTTAATGCTTTTACCATGCGGTTGGCATTCTGGGTATAGTACTACGTTTTCTGTGATTGTACTAAGTTAACAATAACTTATAAAAGTATTGATTTAATGAATAGGTTAACCTAACAAAAAACCCAACTTCAATATAGTTAAGTTTTAATTGATTATTACGATGGAGTCGGATATAGTTTTTTTTTTTTAAATCACAATATTAAGTCTTACAACATGTGTAGCCTATAAAGTCCTGTCGTAAATATTGCTAAGATTGATCAAGCTAGGGTAACATAGGCCTAATATGAAAAAGATCAACCTGTGAATTTGTAAATTGAAGCTCTACTAAACTGTGTTACTTAAACATGGAAATTGGATGTTAAGATCTATCCATTAACTACTTTAGTACAATCAACATTAAATCCAGCCTAAAATCCTAGAAAAGTTTTAAAGTTGATTTTACATAGTACATACCTCTGAAACACATCCCAAAGAAATTCCCTTGAAGGCATCGGCGATGAAAAATGAGACATTATAAGTCCACTGTTCCTCCAAAATGAATTTAAAAAAATGACTAATGCGATTGATATCTCACTCTGATAATGTAAAATGATAAAAATAAATTTTTCCACGAACCCTGAGCCTAAGTCTTGTTTGTTTGCCACTGCCACTGCACGTTCCTCCGTTCCTCCTCTTTCTGTTCACTGTGTACTCAGTTCCTTCCTGTTTACACTGACAGTTCACCTGAACGTCAAACGTCATCGTCTGCTAGTGATTTTTCTGTAAATTTTCTAACTGCCAATTGGTTGGCTTGCTCTATTGATCATGAAGCCAAATATAGACTTTGGTAACTTTTTTGGGTATTATGCTGTTATCGTACACTGAAACTTAGATGCAATTTTTATTGGAATATTTATTCTTATAGCTTGAAGAACATGCGACCATCTATACTCTAAAACAAGTGCGTGATTGTACACAGGACCAACTTTGATTTTCGCCTGAGGATTATTAGTTTTTATTGACTATTTTGGCCATGAATTGGTAACAAGGCCAATTTTCCGCCCTACAGCCCTTGGAAGTGCAAATATTACTGTCAATACTTTTTGTAGCTGCAGTAAATAAAAACAGCTGTATGTTAGTTTTATTGCAATCTACGTATTTATAAAGGTGTATTAAAATCCTTTCTTATCTTTAATTTAGCCAAAGATTACATATGCTACGCATATGTAATCTTTGCTTTAGCTAATAAATTTAATGTTTAATTCAATCCGATCTATGCTAGGTCTCCTGGTACTATTTATAATATTAACAATAATTACACTTTTTTAATCGTTTTGTCTATTACACTAACATTTTTATAGCAGATATTTAATAAAGATATAGCATAAAATAAATAAACAACAATTTGTGTTATTGGTGTTCATTATTCAATGCTACAAAGGGTAATACAAAGGTAATACCTAAGCGTTAACCATGGCCACCTTTAACTCTTTTTAACCCACTATTTCAATAGTGCAACAACAAACTCTGGCTGGAAGTAACTGGAAACACTCGGTTCATTATAACATAAACTTTACCTTCCTTGTCAATCTTAAATCACTTATTAAAGTCATTAGTGAGTATAGCCATGGCCACCTTAAACTTTGGGACGTGGCATGGTAGAATTGGCAACGTCGCAAGTAGTGTTGTTCAGTGCCAGACGCTGAACATGAGATAACATAAGATAACATGGCAGTGGTAGACATGTTATCAATTTTTGTATTATTCATTTAAATTTATAAACATAAATTTATTGAAAGATTGAAAATAAAACATATGTAACTAAAAACCAAAACAATATATAAACCATTACCTGCCTCCAAAAAAACCGCTGTTACAACTCTACTTGCGACGTTGCCACTTCGAAGGCCGCGGCCAGGTAGAATTGGCAACGTCGCAAATTGTGTTCTCTAGCACCAGATGTCCCTTAAGATAACATGGCAGACAGCTTACACCAGCTCATTATTTCGCGTATTATTAATTAAAATTACAATAATTTATGAACATAAATTTACAGAAAGATTGAAAATAAAACATATACAATTGAAAACCAAAACAATACTTAAATTGATAAATTGAAATTGATTGATGATTGAACGATATTAGTTTACAATAATCAAAGCTCTGTTGTAAAAATCATTTTATCGCTTTGTAGTCTATGCATAATAAGAGAGTTTGTCTGGTTTCTTCTTCCTCTCCTACACCATCCATCCTCAATTCAATTCTGTATTATCATCATCGCATCGTCATCGTATCATTCATTATTGTTTTGATGGTGACAGACGACGTAGATAGATATGCAGACAAACGAAATTCAAACGATTGTAGGCCTAGTTTATCTAGAATTTTTCTCTGCAGAGAAACATTTGCACCATTATTTTAAGGTAAAATCTAGTGTCTGGTAATATACAAATTACTTAATTACTATAGGTTAATACTACAATTTTCATACTGCACGTTTGTAGTAGGACTTAACTAATGCAATATGTATTGTCAATTTTAGCTCAATAAAATGATTTGATTTGAATACATTAATCATAGTACTTTCAGTTTCTCTGGAGTTATTTCCCCAATTTGTCCTTCCTAGTATATGCTAGTATCCAAATCCAATAGACAATTTGATTAGATTAAAGAGACTGTGATGGACTGAATTTGTTTTTGTTGTGGTTAATATAAGCCTACTCTCATGTTTAGGCTATAGGCCTGTATTTTATATCGGTAGGTGTATGGCTCTGTTTTAAACATCTAATTATCATCTCTAAATATTTTTGGTCATTCCTTAACTTATTTAGGCCTATCTAAAACTAGAATAACAGCGCTTTGTAAATTATGATGGGTGCCTATTTTTATAAGGAGGGCTTGAAGAAATGTCCTATTGTAACTTTTTAGTATCTAGGTACCGGTACTAGAAACAAAACCAGCTAAAGTTCCCTATTTACCTAGAAAATTGAAACTTCATTTTTGTACCTAGTTCTCATTTTGTCAGTCATGGTTCAGATGATTATACAAATGGCTGACCCTCTTATCGGTAGCCTAATAAATAAGTATTTTTTGTAGGCCTAGTGACAAAAGCCAAAATTTACGTTGCTACCCTTCTTGCATTTGAGTGAGTACGGTATTTAACTTAATTTAAAATAGGTTAGACTATTCATACCAACATACTGTAACATGTATCAAATCACCTTTTACATAACACAATTGGCTTTAAATACTGAAATGAAATAAATAGACATCTCTTGTGTTAGTTGTAGGGATGGACGAGATTGGATTTTTAGTTCGAGACGAGACGAGATTTTTTATTTCTCATAGAATTTCAGGACGAGATCGAGACGGGATTTCCCTTCTCATAGACAACGGGAAATGCACGTTCAAAATTTTTACCTGATTTTGTAACATTGTTAGATGACTGTTTAAATACAAAAATAATGATAATAGGCAAGAATATTTACAATCTTTTATTAAAAAACATCAGCATAATATTTTTTTATTAATCACGCCTAACTTATTAAAAATGCTTACGATTAGGAAACATAGTGATATCAGTTTATAGTTAGGATAGAGTTCAACTTATCCTTAAATAAAATAAATCATAAAATAAAAGCAATATTAATTTGTATAAAATAGTTAACTTACTTGTTTTGACTTTTTATAGTAATAAAACATTCCTCACACTGCTTACACTTAACAAAACTTCTCAAATGTTATTAAAGTAATATTATTAAAATAATTAAAGTAATATTTACATTTAAAGAATTAGTTAAATAAGAACGCCTTCGCAAAGGAAATGCAACTACAACACGCTCCTGTATTGTGGGTATTGCATTGACTTTCTGCAGGCGTTTTTAATTATTTTTTTTTATTCTCGTCTCGATAAAAATCTCGGCCAAAAAGAAATCTCGTCTCGTGTAACGAGATTTAAAATTTCCCGAAATTTCGAGACTTGACCATCCCTAGTTAACAGTGTTATTTTATTGGATGAAAATTTAACTTAGTTGAATGAGTCTTTTACAGAGTGCACTAGTGGCAAAACAATATTTCCCTTTAATGTTTTTGATGTTTTAATCATTAATGCGATTTAAAAGTTCCTCTAAATTTTTGTAACATATCTTATTAGATTGGCTGTTAAGAGGATAGTGGATGTATAGGTACCTACGGTACTACAGAAATCAGTTATTGACACACTGTCGTTGGTTCCAAACAACGATCATTAATTTAATTTTTAAAAACTAACAACATTACCTAACATTATTTGTGTCTAGTACTATCAATAGTCAAAGATGATACTAACCAACTTGTGTCATGTTTCAGGTGTGGTGGATGGTTGGAGGAGATATGCCATTGACCCTGGAAAGTTCTCTAGTTTCTTGATGAGGACTTGTGATTGTCTAGAGTCCACAGGGCGTTTCAGCACCACAGAACCTGCTTGTCTACTCTTGTGTATCCTACTACGAGCCTTTAGAGAACAAGCAGCCCCGATATTGGGTGAGTGAATATTTGATCTAGATATTTGGCTATTTGGCCTGAAACTAGTAATTAGACAATGGATATACTTTATATTTATTCAGAATAGTACACTGGAAACTTTGTTGTCGTTTTGTTGACGTTCATGCAAAAAGTTGTACTAAAAAAACTGTACTTTTTAGGAGACAAAACAAAAACTAAAATCGCCTACAGGCTAGGCTTTGTTTTGACGTTCTAAGGGTGTTTAGTGGCAGTTCAAAATAACATATTATAATACCTGACCTTGTTAGAGAATAACCCAGAAGGTAGAAGACCCCTTGGAAGACCGAAACTTAGATGGTTCGACCAAGTGGAGAAAGACCTGAGGAAGCTAGGGAGAAGGAAGGAAGATGCAAGAAGCAGAGACCTATGGAGGCAGTGTGTTGGGGAGGCCAAGTACCATCTAGGGTACCAGTGGCCACAGCAGTAAGTAAGTAAGTAATACCTGACCTTACCTATTAAAAAGGCATAGGGTCGCCTCGCCTAAGCCTTTCTTTGGTTTCTTGGCAGCTTAAGTGCCCAGACCCTATTCTGAGGATGACTGTGCACCAACACCAACTCCCTAGGACCTCAGGCGGGATTCGAACCCGTGAACTGTGTTAAGCGCTTTGCTGCTGCAATCTGCTTGGTCTATAGGCGACTTTAGCTTTTTATCGCCTCCTGAAAAGTACACCAACTTGGGGTCTGTTTCAGGTGTGGTGTTGGTGGTTGGAGGAGATACGGCATCGACCCTGGAGAGTTCTCTAGTTTCCTGATGAGGACTTGTGGATCGTCTTGTGTCCAGCACCACAGAACCTGCTAGTCTACTCTTGTGTATCCTACTACGAGCTGTTAGAGAACAAGCTGCCCATATTTGGTGAGTGAATTTTCAGCATTGATTAAATAATAATATAGATCTTGTTTGGTTGGGTCATATTATATCTGAAATTAGTCATTATTTGACGATAAAGAATGAAGAATGAAGAAGATTCATAAAGAATGTAGATAAGAAAAGTTCCTCCTAAAAAGTTGGCCTACACTAACTTGTGGCATGTTTCAGATGTAGCAATTGGTGTTGGTGGTTGGAGGAGATACAACATCGACCCCGGAGAGTTCTCTAGTTTCCTGATGAGGATGTGTGATCGCCTTGTGTCCACGGGGCATTTCAGCACGACTGAACCTGCTAGTCTACTCCCGCGCAGCTACTACAAGCTGTTAGAGAACAAGCAGCCCATATTGGGTGAGTTAATATTTGTAGAGGTGTGCGGATAGTGAAATTTCATTTCGGATCGGATTCGGATCGGATAGTTGAGGCTCGGTTCGGATCGGATCGGATATTGGGAGGTTCGGATTCGGATATTTTCGGATTCGGATAGTTCGGCGCGGTTAATGATAAGCTGCATATGCATTTTTAACATATAAAACACTGTAAAGCTGTGTAAATAAACATAAATGGTGATTTTGAATCATAAAATTTCAAATTAGCCACGTCCACAGTTTTTCTCTCTTGAAAATCACAATTCACAACATCTATTTTCAAAAGTTGGTTGCTTGAATTAAGTACACTAACAGCCAAAATCTTCACACAACACTTAAGCTCAGCAGGACTGATGTCAAAGTTTGGGTTTGTTTACTTGAGGTTATGTTTTATGTTGTTTTCTGGTTCTCACAAGACAAGGATTTCTATCTCAATTTTATTTTCACATTGTATTTCCTTACGTTTTTGGAACAGATTATTGGCCTTAAGTGGCATTCTTGGGGTTTGCCAAGTTTAGAAAACATCACTAATACACTAAACTGGGCTCTAGATTTGATGTTGTGGCAAGTTAATTAGAGCAATTAGGCTTTATAACTCTGTAAATAAAGGTGTGTATCCCTGAATTTATAAATTTCATTCTACACTTATTCACTGCCAAACATAATTCAGTAGAACCTTGATGAACCAAGAATTACACTAGCCTACATAACTTCATTACCCCAAGTAAAATACCAAGATAAGTTTTAAAAGTAAAAAGTTATAAGTTTGTTAAAAATGGATTTTAAATTCAACAATTAATTATTGCAGTCCATTATTGTTATGCAGTATGGTCCCAAGTTATTGTTTTTGATTTTGAAACATCACAGTTCATTTGAAAAAATTAAAGTTGAAGCAGCCCAAGGTCAACAAGTCACACACGTGTACAACAATAGTTTTTTTACAAGCTTTCTCCAGACCACTGGGGAGGGGCGCGCGTACAGATTGGCCAATGGTTTAAGGGTCGTTTCTAACATACAGATTGACCAAAGGTCCTAATGAGCAGGGGCAAAAAATGGGGGCGGAGCTTACAGCAGTGATGTGTGTGGGGGAGGAGCTAGTCTATTCAAGTAAACTGTTTGTTAACGTTTTCTAATCTTACCAGATACAGAGGTGGTCTCATAAGTTTAACATGGGAAACTATGGAGCCATTGGGGCAGAGCCCGAAATGATTTTTTTTGGCAATATGTCTAGATATGTTAATCGGGAATGTGAGCTATCTTCATACCAAATTTCAACCCGATCCGACCAGTAGTTAATGCGTGATTGGATATCAAACAAACGAACAAACTCACAAAATTTCACAATATTAGTACTACGATATATTGTAGTTTTTAAGGGTGAAAACATGATGTATCATCATATCTCTATTATTTTCATTGCGTGCGCCATCTCTTCAAGGAAACTTCAGAAAGATTAATAATACTAATGACACATACTATGAAAACAAAAAATCTAACGTAAACCATTTTCTTCTTTACATTTTATACAAAACTAGCTGTTGTACCCGTACTTCGCAACGGGAAGAGGACACAAAATAGAAACATTTTAATCTTTACATCTGTTGTATATAATAGTTACACATCCGCAAACGCTTTTAGAAACAAAATTCAACTTTTATGGCCTTAATAGAAAAGTTAAAGTTATAACTTTTAAATCTGGTAAATAGCGGATAGCACCATTTTGGTTTTGATTAATTTTAAATCTTGTGTAGGCTGATATGAGAAAACCTGACAAAATCTCCGAATACAACTTTGACATACATGATTTACCTTCATCTCCCTTAATTAAATGTCTTTTAATTTACTATTGACATTTTAAATATCAATTTTGAAGTTGAAAAAATACTAATTATTAAATTTAAATGAACAGTTTCTTTAAATTTCACTCTTCTTTATAAATCACAAATCCATCTTTAGTTTCTTCACTTACAATAAATCATTAGCAAAACTAAGTCAGCTGTTATAATAAATTGTTATTATACTAAGTCAGCTGTTATTATAAACTTTAGAAATATCGCTGTGCCTTATCAATACAGTCTTTTGAAATATTAAAGAAACTATATCTATAGGTACTATAAACATTTTTAAACAAATTATTCAGCATTAAAGACAGCAGACAAAACTAATATGATTATCAAAGCATCATGGACTAAAAAATATAATAGCAAATACAGTATGTTTCTACTCTATAAAAAATATCAACAAACAACCTAATATACAGTACAAACCAGTTCTTTTAATCAGTTCCATCGGTCATTGCCTTTACATTTTCACACTTTCCATTAAGTAAACATAGTAACAGATATTTCATTGATTTTAGAAACAAAAGAACACTGTGTAATGCTTAGTTTTATGACATTTTCCTTGGTTTAATTTAATCAGTGGTGTGGCAAAACACAAATAATAAATGTATCAAATAAAGTAAATGTGAACTTAAAGCTATGTTAAGATAAAAAAGAGTATTTTGTATTACCATTTGATAATTAAATATAGTTACACATATACAAGAGATTTTAGAAAACAAAAATCAACGACGTACAATTTAGTTATTGATGACATTCTTTAGTTTAATTTAAGCATAGGTTTAGCAAAACACAATAACTTAATTTACCTAAATATACATATAAAAAACAATGTGATGTGCAAGTTATGTTAAGTTAATCTAACACAAGTTAAGCAATTTGAATTTATTTAAAGTAGCCTCCAAAATCATACAAAACATCTATACATTGTAATTTTCATACCGTTTCCATGAAAACATATCAATAACATTATTTTCATAACTTGAGACGCTTTAAAAAATCCAAAGCAGAGCCGGAGTTGATACAGCAACGGTTATAGAATCTTTTTTTTCTATAATCATTGACATAGTTTTAGAATAAATAATCAATTATAAAAGGTTAGATTAAAATAAGCCTACCTCATAGTTATGGAAACTATTGTATTTAATTTCTTTGTATTAGCTGTCTAAAGCCCCGTTTATGCACCAAGAGCGGGAGCGGGGCGATGGCGGGCCCGCTCCCGCTGTGAATGGGGCTGTTTATGCACGAAGAGCGATAGCGGTAGCGGTTGGTTAAAGGAGATTGGAAGGGGGACACAGTCTTGCCAACTCAAACTCTGCCAAATAATTAACACAACTATTTGTCCTAAGTGCACGTGCGCGTGGGTCAAGCTGGCAACTCTGGCTTCAGCCGCTCCCGCTCCCGCCGTGCATAAACAGTCCCATTTGACTCAATGTAGTTGAAAACCGCTCTATCCCAAGCAACCGCTGCGATTTCTAACTACACAGCGGGCGAATTAGAAACCGCAGCGGGAGGTCAACCGCTATCGCTATCGCTCTTGGAGCATAAACAGCCCCATTTAACTCAATGGTGTTAGAAATCGCTCCCGCTGTCGCTACCGCTCCCGCTCTTGGTGCATAAACGGGGCCTAAAATTGTGAAATATGCAGTTTAGCAGTTCTTCTTGTTTACATTTAAATGTCAAAGCAAATGTAAACAAACATTGTTAGTGTTCTCATTGCAGCCATGGAGACCAATCAATATCTACTTTTATAATGTTCACTTAAAATGTAGAACTTTTAAAGCCAAAGGGGCATCGAAATGTGAATAGTCCAATAATGGTCCTTGTTGTGGTAGCTATAATTTTGTAAAATTTAAGCCCAGTTGGTTCAGTAGTTTTTGCACCTATTAGTAACACACATACAGACAGACACCATTAGATTTTTAGATAATAGGCCTACTGTAGTATAGATAATACAACATTTTCTTGATTTAACTTAAACATCACCGACTTACAGATAACCCAATTTTCGTATGGATGTAAACAAAATTGTACTATGGACATATGTTTTGATGTAAACTTTAACAAGTTCAGACGATTGACAACAGAATTCAGCACAAACTATGCAATTTTAAAAGCTAATATGACGAGGTTATATGCTTTCACAGGATATCATCCAAACGGAATAATACCTCCAATTTGGAGTTATTATTTTCTTTTAGCGGCAACTGAAAATGTAGCTGACTGAATATTAATAACAAATTATTACTTATTTCAGGATTTTAAGGCAAAATGTTAAAAATTATTTGAAGTTTAGAATTTTAATTTTTGGTTTACGTAAATGTTGAATACGGTAAATGAGTAGATTTTTATACTCTGTGGTAGAACATTTTATTCAGGTTATTTCACTCCCAATGGAATATCTTTTTATTTTTTATTTTTTTACTTTTGTTAAAATGCTACTCCTATAATGAATATTGCTAGATTGGTTTTGTGAACTTAAAAATGAACATCGTGTGCGAAATACTAAGACAGATATTCAAGGTAATTTTCAAACAACGGGTATACACATAAAAACGAGAATGCTTATGCTTTGAATCTTGAAAGTATCAAAATTAGATATTTCTTCATCAGGGAGCTTGTAGCGGAAGGACAAGTCAAGGTTAACCATGTACCAGCTGAGTTCCAACTGGCAGACTGTATGACGAAACCTCTTCATAAGCTAAGACTGAAGACTTTGTGGCAAGCTATGGGACTTAACTAATGACTTAAAAAATTCTTTAAATGAGGGAAAGTGTTAAGATATGTGATTAACTTATCTATCATTTAATGAATTTTCCTCTATGTTTTTTTTTCTTTCTCTCAGCTGTGCTATTATTAATTATGCAGTTTTGTATAATATGAGTTTGTAGATAAAAACATAACAAAAATGTATTCTTTCCTCATATTTAATTTCAACAGAAAGAACACTTCAGGACTTTTAAATGGTAACATTATCCCTATTGCTATAACTAGGTCAAACAATTTCGTAACCAACTCGACCTCCCAAAAAAATTACTTTGTGTACTTAAAAAAAATTGATAGTGAGTTAATAAGCAATTAGTTAGATTTTACAGCCTATTATTTGTATTAGAATACCGCACTGTTTTGTTT